CAGGGGCAGACCCCTGGTGATCCTTTAGCATCCATTTTCTTGTTGCACAGGTGGGAAACTATAACCCAGAGAGGACAGGGACATGCCCAAGGACACACAGCATGCAGGCTTGGTAAGGCTGTTCCTCTCTGGGCCTCCCATACGACTGTGAGCCCCTCCTCTGGCAAAGTTGGCTTCTTGGCCAGTGTGGTCTTCCTGGGGTGTGATAGACACAAAGGCAGTGTGTATCATGTGTTCCTTTGGAGGCCTTTTGGCACACCCTGCCTCTCTCTGAGGAAACTGGCCTAGGGTGAGTCACTGCCTCTGTGTTCCCCTGGGGTTTGCCCAGAGGCTGGCCATGTGGAAGCAAGTTTACTGCCCAAATTTCCCCTTTTCAGTAAATAGGCTACTTCCTCCTGGATTGGCCACTTCCCTCTGGTCACTGGGTTCCTGGGAGGCTCAAGGAGGCAGAAGCTTACATGAGCATGCGGGGCAGACCCCTGGACACCAAGCATGTGCACGCCTGGTGCATGGACTGTGAAAAGCTGGCCCCTGACCATAGCACAATGATGTTTAATCTAAGAGGCCTCAAGGACTGCAAATGTCAAAAAGCCATTTAAGAAGGGTTCCAAGGAATTATGAGCCACCAGAGACTGCTCCAAAATTTCCATGTAGGGGGGCTGGGGGAGGGGGAGGGAATAAAGTTGTGTTTACTTATACAAACTACAAAAATTGTCTAAATTGAAGATGGGGAGGTGCTGAGAAAAATGAGATAAAGCTCCATGGCCCTAGGAATGAGAGGGTAAAGGGTTTGTTCATGAGATAACCAGCATTTCAGAGTGGCCTTGAAAGACTTAGTGGTTAGAGAAGCCTGGGGGAGGTCTGTAGACCTCTAAAGGTGTTGGGGTTTATTCTGGTGGCACCATATACGGAGGTGTGGACCACTTCCCATGGTTCAGTCAAGTAGGCAGAGACTCAGGGCCTTGCAGGCTTTGGCCTTGAAGCTTTATACTTTAGCACTTTTACTAGGAACTCAGTGCCTGTGACTACCCAGCTTCCACCTCAGAGGGTCACATTCTGGGCCTGGCCAGAGTCAGGCAGGGGCTGGGGCAATTTATCCCTTGGGATACTAATAGACTCTGCACCTAGACTTGCTTGTTTTCAAGGAACCTATGAAATGTTTGTGACCTAAGAAGAATGTACTGACTCCAAAACCCAAGAAAAAAGAGCAAAATCAAAATTAATAACATCTAATTCAGCTGGGTACAGTGGCTTATGCCTGTAATCCTAGAAATCTGGGAGGCTAAGGTGGGAGGATCCCCTGAGCTGAGAAGTTCAAGATCAACCTGAGCAAGAGCCAGACCCTGTCTCTACAAAAAATAGAAAAATTTGCTGGGCATTGTGGAGGGCATCTGTAGTCCCAGCTACTTGGGAGGCTGAGGCAGGAAGAATGCTTGAACCCAGGAGTTTGAGGTTGCAGTGAGCTAGGCTGAGGCCATGGCACTTTACCCTGGGGTAAAAAAAAAAAAAAAAAAAAAACGAATTAATTAAATGTCTACAAAGTGTAACATTATGTCAACTTTATAGTACTCATAAAAATGATATTATCCTTAGAAAAAATTTGTAGGTTGGGTTTTTCTCAGAATCCTTTTGGTCAGAATCCTTATGTAGACATGATAATTGCCAATCATAAATTAAAATGAATAATTTATAGTCCAATGTTATTAAATGCATAATTCTAGACATTTCGTCAACTTTTTTTTTTTTTTTTGAGATAGAGTCTCAAGCTGTCGCCCTGGGTAGGGTGCCATGGCGTTACAGCTCACAGCAACCTCCAACTCTTGTGCTTAAGGGATTCTCTTGCCTCAGCCTCCCAAGTAGCTGGGACTACAGGTGTCTGCCACAATGCCTGGTTATTTTTTGGTTGCAGTTGTCGTTGTTTGGCAGGCCCGGGCTGGATTCAAACCCACCAGCTCTGGTGAGCAACTTGAGCTACAGGTGCCAAGCCACCGCCAAACATTTTTATAGCAAAAATTATACATGTTTTCCATGGGATGTGGAGGCATTTTAATATGTTTAATATGATGTGAGGTGTGGCCTTTCAAAAAAGAGGAGGGCAGGGGCCCCGCAAGCATTTTAGAATGGCCCTAGCTCCTCTGAGGTGGGTAACCAGGGAGGGTAAGGAGACTCAGGCACAGGAGAGTCAGGCTGAGGTTCTGCTTGGCTGCTGGAAGCTCCAGGAGAGGATATAGAAGTCCTTTGTCTGTAGCATCTGCCAGCCAGCCCAGGCCCTCACTCCAGGGAAGGGGGCTTACTGCCACTGCCTGGTAAGGATGCCTTGTGCCTAGTGACATCTGCCTCCACGTGACCCCCTATGGGGCGTGGTTCTGTCCTCTGATGCCTCTGATGCCTCTGATGATGGACTATGGCCAATTTTTTTGTGAAAATTTTTTCTATTTTTTCACAATTTACTGATAGAGTTGAAGAGAGTTGGCTACCTTGCCCTACCCAGTGGCCTCCCAGTACCACAGCTACATAGACCCACTTCTCCCTGCTCTTCCCCTTTCCACAGGATTTCAAGGTCATACTCTACCCTGACTGCCTCCTCCACAAGCCAATTAGTCACAGTCCCTCTTACCCACTTGGCTAGGTTCAAACTGAACTTGGTCCCCTCACTCAAAAGGACAGTCCATTCCATCCTGGACATCACAACCTCTGGCCTCTCTAGATTCCCCTCTCAGAATCAGCTGACTGATGAGGAAGACATCGATGTTACCTATATGAGAATAATAATAACAGCTGATACATACTAGGCACTTACTACATGTGAGGCACCACGCTAAGAAATTTCACATGTATTTCTCATGTAACCCTTACAGTAACAACAGCACAAGATATCTACTTGTATTATCCTCATTTTATAAGTGAAGAGACTGAGGCTCACAGAAGGTAATAACTTGGCCAAAGGCACATCTCTGCTAAGCAGCAGAGGTGCCTTCCCACCTATGGGGCTTTAAACAGGCAGCCTAATTTGGTGCCCTTGTCCAGTTCAGAGACAAATTCTGGCAGTCTGACTTGAGAGCTCTGTCCCTAACACTGCTGACTGTGTTCAAAGCCAACC